TGCAGTGCCTGGACGTCAATCCGACCACCTTGTTGGGTCGAATTAAGACAAGGTTAAATACTGACAGATATATTTTGATCCATAGGCATATGGAATAAAAATTAAATACCGATGCGGCTCCTTTGGCTAATAGAAACAAGAGGACGTCGCGACTGCACCGTGCGAATTCAGAGAAGTGACAGATTGTCATTTTTACCAGCACTATTGAAAATTAGTAGTTTGCTACTTAACCCACATTACCGAGGATAAAGTGTATTAGACGGACGTTAATACCTTTATGCTGTCGTCAGCATTTCGATGCGTTATCACGTTCGTGAAGAGCTTGTAGATGATTAGCCACAAACTGATTGGCCTGTAGTTTTTCAGATTTTCTTTGTCCATTTTTGTGTAGTATAACTCCGGATACCGTACTCCATTCGTTTAAAATTTGCATTTACTTTAAGCATGAAAAGCGAGCTAACATTCTTTCAAATATGTTACCTCTTGATTCCACGAATTTTTCTATATTATCGCGTCGCCAGGACTCCTCCCTCGTTCCAACTGTTTTACTGAACGTCACTTATTTCGACAAAATATCTGTAATTTCGTCTACTTGGTTTGTTTTCTCAGATTCTCTCTCGTTGTATGAGGTGGTTCTGTTTTCATCTTTGTACAGTTTCTAACAGAAATCCTGTTCTCTTTTTTGCATACCTTTGCTGTCCCTGATGGCGACAATCCCATCTTTTGCTTTGACAGCCGCAACTTTCGCTTTCCGATAACCAATCTTTTATATAATTTCTTTGTACTTCAGTTGCCTTCAGTAGTTGCCTTCAGGAATATGCGGTTGAACCATCGGATGTCAACTTTTATCCATTTCCCCAGTTTCGCAAAATCTCACATATTCGATATTCGAATATTGATCTTCATTTCCTTTCGTTTCTTTATGAGTTTTTTGGATTGTTTTGTGGTTTTTTGGTCTCACGCCGTAGTCCTTGTTCCAGAAATGTCTTCTGCAGATTCTGCAACTGCCTTATATCCTGATACATTGCGTTAATGACCGTCGCCTCTTCTGCATATTACGAATAACGTCAAATCTGTTATTTGTTCTGAGGTGAAACCGTAAGTGGTTCTTTAGTGTTTCCACATCGAGTACAGCATCTCATCCTTAGCAATTTTCTTCTTTCTAAAGCTGAGTCCAGAAGCACTTTGCATCTGACGAGCCTGTAATCGCTTCCTACAGTAAATTTATGAGCACCGCGATATCCTGCATTGTGTTCTCCATGTTACTGAGAATGAAATCGATTTCATCGTTACTATCTCGTTTTACTTTTCAGTACCTATTTTGTGCTTTGCTCCTAACTGGTTCTTTTAATCCAGTTCCACTAGGTAGTGGTCCCTGTCATTTCTTTCTCCGTAGCTGAACTGATCTACAACTAATTCATCTCCTTGCTCTGATCAGCCAGTTATGTGGAAATCACAAACGATGAACTTTTAATGGCTCTTTCCTTGTTCACGCACTTCTTCTGGTTCTTCGTAAAAGGCTTCAGTGTTTTCAGCAGGATAGCTTACTATTGGCGCTTATACTTGGATCACATAGAGTTGAAATTTTCAAAATCAGTTTCGCGCACCTCCCTGAAATGCTATCCATTTATACTACATTGTTTTTTATTCTTCTGCAGATAAAGAGCTTTACCCCCACCCCGTCCCCTGTTCTTGCAGTTGCTCTCCTTCTGCAGAACAAGTGGTGTCCACTGTTAAGCTCTGACAGCTCATTTTCCTTTCATTTTACTTCGGTTAGTCTGGCAATGTCCCACTTGATTTTACCATATTATTCATCTACTTCCTGAAACCTCGTTTTGCCTATAGGTAGGTGACCTGCAGTTGTATGTTCCTGTCGTTATTAAACTGTAGCATTTCGAATCCGTAATTCGAATATTCTATTCCTCTACTTCTCCAGCTTCTGCATTCGCCCGCGGCCATATAGCTTTCGGGGGAATAAGGGAATCTTGAGGATTTGGCCGTAACTTATCGTACTGTCCAGGTGGGTTGGTGAGTGTTGCTTCTTCCATTTTGCCGGGTATTTTCTCAACTTTCCATTACATGGTTGAACCCGCGGAATGGAGCTCCGCTCTGCATCATCTAGAGCACTCGTTGCAAAGCATGAGAACATATACGTACATACTGTGCGTGAACGCGACACTAAGCAGTTATTTTTCCGGTCTTGAACAGCCAAGCGACGTAGAAGCTGTTGATCTGTTTCCATTTCTTGAAACCGTTCATCGAGTAATGTCCAGATCTTTAGCTTTTTCTGCCCATGTCATTCTCCATTCGGATGGTCAACGATATGGTAAAAATATCAGCATTTTTTATGGAAACGGTAGCCCTTAATACCGCTGTACCGTTTCTGAAAGCTCTGATAATATTTGTCATGTTTTGTGGTAAGGATGGTGTATTTTAATAAAGAATCAAACTAACTGTTAGTTGTACCTTGACTAGAGCTTTGTACTTGCTGATCGTAACTGTTTCAAGGAAGTGCTTTCGGCAATCGGTGCTCCGAATCGGATATTCTACAAGTCGGAAGACAAAATGAAGATTCACCTGCCATCTGATCAACGCTTGAAGAAATCCCTCGAATCGGACTACTTTTTCAATTATTTCACTCTCGGCCTTGTAAGTACTGTTTATTTGTATGCGTATTCGTGTGTATTTGCGTATCTGTATGGCACAGCTACAGGGTAGAAGCAGAACTGAAGCAGTACCGACCGTGACCTTATAAATCTTTTTATTACATGTCATTACACGTCATCGATATCTGCCAGCTTCGGCATCGAGTGCAGTAAGGAATCGTCCAATACAGAGTACACGTTACAGTGCAGGTACTTTTCATCCAAGTTGTCGGCTGAGAAGTAGTTCTGACGGAATGGGGCGTCCTTCTCTTCGTGCGTCCTGTAGATCGCCTTCCGATAGCGTACTAGCAGCACGGCTACCAGAACCAATGACGCAATCGTCACCGCTGCCACTAGCACAATCGTCATTACGCCGATCGTGCCGTAGCCACCGCGATCAGACGTGTTTGCACACGCAATAAGTCCGTTTCCACCGGCCGCTGCATTTTTTGTACTCTCTCCTCCGAAACATTCTCCTGCTTCAACAGCGGCTGTTTCGTCCGCATTTCTAGATTTTGTTGACGAAGATTCAGAAGATGGTATCTGGCGATTATTGCTGTGGTTACACGTTGTGCGCTCGTGGTGCATCTCCGATAACTTGTAGTGCGGGGCGTCCTTCTCGTACAGGGCATCAGACCCCTGAGGGAGCGATACATTGCACCTCGACAGGTCGAGGGATCTAACCGCCGACAGCAACAGCAGCTGGCTGGCGGTGACGTCCTGGATGGCGTTGCCGGACAGGTTCAGCTGGTCGAGTCGCAGCAATTCGCTCGGCATGTTGGATGGCAGCCGCGTTATGGCGTTGTCTGAAAGGTCCAGATAGCGCAGCTGCACCGTGCCCTTCAGGAGCGTGGCGGTTATGGCGTCGATGTGGTTGTGGCACAGCCGTAGTTTCTTGATTGAACCGGCGCCGACCGCCAGCACGTCGGCGGCGCTGAAGTTGCGAAACTCATTGTAGCACAGGTCCAGTTCCTCGATGCCGCCACCAGCGCTGGCCAGAATTCCGCTGATCGCCGCTCGGCTCTCTTCGCTGTCGTCTAAGAGACAGCGCTGCATGATTAGACGGCGTAACTGGCCGCGAGGGATCCATCGTCTGGCGGTTGCAAACGACGGTGCTGCAGCGACGTCGCGAAATCCCCCTGAGCCGGAGATGTCCAGGCTTTGTAGCGTCGGCAAGTTGGCCAGCACTCTGCCGATTGAGCCAAGTCCAAGCGCGCCGTTGTCTCCTATATGCATGTCGCTGAGGGCGGTGTGCTGCTGGAAGGCCCATCTCGGGAACGACCGGATGCTGCAGTTACGTAACCGAATGCGCTGCAGCCTTGGAATGTCGTCGAACACCTTAAAGTCTTGCTCG